GGAGAGAGAGAGAGAGAGAGAGAGAGAGAGAGAGAGAGACAAACCGGAAGAAATATATAGTTAATTAATTAAGTTGTCATAAAATGCACTTGTTTAAATGTGTGGAAATAGTACAAAACTGTAATCAATAAATTTCAGAAACAATGTGAGAGCTAAATATTGCATTGCATTGAATTAAATATTAATTATTTAACGAAAAACTAAATACTTAAAAATTACTAAATAACTATAAATACAATTATTATATACAACATTTTAAAATAAGCAATCATAAAACTATAATAACAATGCATTTTAAAATTATATAAAATTTATATCGATTAAAAATAAAGTAAAATAACTAGTTAAAAATGCCACAATTGTTAATTTATACCATAGGAGATCAACATACGAGATAACAATAAATACATCACTATATAATATATAAACTAAATAACTAAACTAGCAACAAATACAAAATAAACACTAACCAGCATTTGTGAAAAATTATCGGCGATTAAAATTGTACCAGATATTTTACTATCAAAGGCAAATCGCTTTTCCAACGTGCTCATCGAGCCGACAAAATACGTGCCGGTCATGCCCTGTATGATACCTATCAGCGCAAAGTTCAGGGTAAAAAACACTGGACTGGCGAACACCTGTAGCCATAGGGGCCGCCACGAGCCCACACCGCACGAGGTTAGCGCCGGGTCATCGATGTCCACCCCCTCCCCCTCCTCTGTATGATCTTCAAGTGGATGTTGTCGTGGGGGCGGAGGTGGGGGTTCGCGGGGCGAGTATTCACTGTCCGTTTGCTGGTGTTGTTGATTGGTTTGGTTGTTATCATTACTAGTTTTAACCAATTTATATGTGGTGTTAGTTTTAGGCATAGTTTGTATACTTATTTATCAAGTGTTTTGTAGTTTTTATATACAATAGAGTTGAGAAAGAGAGAGAGAGAGAGAGGCTGTATATAAAAATATGTTAATAATTAATTAACAAAATAAAAGTTTTTAAATAAAACTTTCACAAACACTATGCGAGACAAAGTATAACTGATCTAAAATTAACTGATGATTAAATATGAATTTACTAGTGAGAGTTATATCAATGGCATGACATCGATCAAATTATGTTAGTATAAAATCAGATATATAAAAATTAACCTAGTAGATAATGAATACAAATGTATTTACTTTTTTGAACTAATCCAGAGCCGAGTGATGTATGGCTTTATGTGTTTCATTTGGTACAAAATAAGGGGGTATTATTTGATACCCTCTAATTGTCGTACACTATACACACTCCAGTTGTGTACAGTACCAGTAGTGCTGGTATTGATTGATTAGTGGGTGCTCTCCCTCCCTGTCCCGTGATATCTGTGATACAAACAAAATTAAATACAAATCAGTATTAGCCGGTGTTTTGGTGGACTTTTAACAGCGATTATGTGTGTGTTTAACATAATTTGATAATCAGTTTATCTAGATTCTAGATTGATTTCTATTTTCAATTTATACTGTATTGTTGTTTATATTGTAAGTCTCATTCATGATTTAGTTAAATATCAATATGTTTAACATTTACAATTGTAATATATAGTAGTTTAACTAATAAATAATTTTAATTATTTAAAATATATATTTTATTTAACATAAACTTTATATTCACATTCTACATGTTATTTAATAATTATACAATCTATAGTATATTTATAAATTATAATTCATAAATAATATCAGTGCAATAATAAGTATTAATTTATACAAAATACAAATTATTGGATTACATGATTGCACAAAATTAATAAATAAATATGCCAATTTAAATATTACCCTTCTTGAATCCATATGTCAATTAAATTAAATAAACTATCTCTGTTTAGACTCAAACCAAGACCTAATGTTTACAATGAATTTAAATTGATTGACACAAACTGTCTACAGTATGCAAGCACTTTGTAAATCAAAAATGTACTAATCGAGGTTAATCTGTGTAAACCAGTTAATTGCACAATTAGATCATATTGTTATCAAGTTCTGAGATTATCTAAATTATAATTTTAACCATATGTTTAAACATTTTGTGCTATTAGATTCCGTGTATTAAATTTTAATCTCCACTAGTTGACATATTACAAAATATTTAACTAGATTAAATGCTTAAGTTAATGATCAAGTGCATTTGGTGTCTTAAAAACTTAATGTACTTTTTATTCATAGTATTTGCTTACAATTTTACAAAACTTATTTACTAATTAAATAAATACTTTTTAAGTATTTCAATTACTTGTATACAAATACATAAATATATCTTTGTTTAACATTTGTATACAAAATAAAAAGTCAATGAAATGTCTACACAGTTGTTGTATTGCTGGTTATGTAAATTATTAAGTAATAAAAACTAGTACATTTAAATAACAAAATTATTCTCATAATAACTGGGTATAAATGGATTAGATTGTATGGTTAGTCTCGATAAATTAGTTTTAACATCATAAAAATTTTAATAAATATTTTCTGTTTGATAAAATATAGATGCTACTATGAAAACCTTAATAATGTTGTCAATTAAACTAGATCCTTATTAATTTTTAAGTAACTTTATATAAACTTTATTATACAATTGACATTACTTTTATTATATTCAAATAGTTGTGTTGTGTGTAAAAAAGGTTTAAAACATTAAAATATTAGATAAAATAAATTTAACTTTAAAACAGATGTTTTAAAATTTGCAAACTTTTCATACACTTTTAACTCGTTATAATAAACGGAAATCTGATGAGAGAGAGAGAGAGAGAGAGAGAGTGTGTGTGTGTGTGTGTTTTTGTGAAATGAAGGTAGGTTCAAGAAAATACACTATACAAAACTGAATTCAAGTCTACCTGTTTCAAGTCTGTGGTTGTTTTTACTGTACTCTCGTATCTAATAAACAAAAATAAAATCAAACTAGACTTTAGCGGGATTGACGGCTTTCAATGTCATTTCAATAAACTTAACAATAATCTCTCTCTCTCTCTCTCTCTCTCGAATCTTATTTTTGACTAATTTTTAAAATAATTATTAATTTTATTTATAAATTGCAATTATTCTAGCAAGAAATAAACTACAAAATATTTTGAAATAAAGCCATTTTAAATATAACCCAAATATTATGGAGATTTAACTGTATATAATAAGGTAAAAATAACTGAAAACAAACGGGAAGTTATAATATGTTTGTTGTTATGTCGATGGAGGAGTGTTATTGAAAAAATAAACATGTTTGTTTAAAAAATACATGTAAAATTATATTGTGTTTATAATTCACACATATTTACTACCATAATTTCAATTTATAGTATATATAATTGTAATAGATTAAATTTCAAATTTACAAACCTTTAAGTAAATAAAATATTTTACATTCAATACATTTTATTTGTGCACTAAATATAATTTTACAATACTGCCATTAATTTTAAATCTTGGTTAAAAACACAATAATTTTAAATATTCAAAAATTGTGAAATAAATTTTATATTTTATAAATCCTGTGCATATCTTATGACACTTAAGGCATAGTTTTATTATATTAATCAACACTTATATAATTCTAATATAAATATAATAAACGCTTTAAAATAGTAAGTATTTTAATAGTAATTAATTTTAAAACAAGATTTTACTAGATAAAACTACATTTAAATATCTATTATGAACTTGTTTGCCAAAAATAAGTTTCGAGAGAGAGAGAGAGAGAGAGAGAGAGTAAGTGAGAGTGAGAGATTTGTGGGGTTAAGGGTTTTTATATAACATGGTAATAAAAAAAGTATATGTTGAAATGTATGAAGTAGATTT